AATCAACCTTAAGACACTAGGAATTTGGTTATATAATAAGAAAATATCCATTAAATATATCCAAGAAAACATTCATGAATATACTCATTTATCAAATATATGAAAGGTAGTCCTTGAAATAAGTTTTTGGTAAGTTGGTAAATGGTAAACTTGGAGAATTGGTCATTTAGTAAATTGAGTTTCAAAGAATTTATCATTTGGCCAGTTGATTTTCGGCAAACTGAGTTTCTGAGATTTGACTTCGAGGGCCTGGTGTGGGCCCCTCCTGCCCTGACCTTTGCACTGACCAGGCCTTACCTTGCCCTAACTCCCCCCCATCACTTTGGGCTCAGGGGAGGGTCTCATATCCCCTTGCTGGCCCAGTGTGTCATTCCAGCCCAGTTAGGTGAGGGGCAGGATGGAGGAAGGGGGACAGGTGCCTCTGGTCTCCCATCTGGCCTCTGATCTGCAGAGGCCTTGTCACCAGCCTCCCAGCTCCCAGCCTCTGGACCCCTCCTCATTGCCGTCCTCTCTCTGTGTTGGGACCAGATGACCCTGACTGCAGCACAGGCTTTTCTGAATCTCTCCCCTGCCAATTCTCACTCTTAGGCTGCTTCTTACAGGCAGTCCTCCTGTATTTCCCCAGTGGCTTTGGCCCAGCTCCTTTTTTCCTTGTCTGGGAACTATGGACAGGACCCCAGTGTGAATGGCACCCCCTGGCATTGTGCAACCCCCTGGCCTGAGTGTTCACCCTGCAAGAGTATCTAGGCTTCTTGAACCAGACCTAGCTCCTGGGTCATCTCTTGACCCTTGCCATAGTTCTCTTTGGTCCAGGATCTAAGATATATTTATTGAATGAGCTGCCTGTAGTAGGCATTGGCCAGGTCAGGTTGCATCCTTGCCCACCTGGACTCTCTGGCTGCCTTGCTGGACCTTTCATTACTACTGTTCCCCACTTCCAGTTGGTCCCCCTTCTTGAACACAGATTTACTCACTTTATGCTCAGAACTTTCCCTGGCTATCATGGGCCACAGAATGATGCCAAACCCTTCAATCTGACTAGCATTTGGGCTCCTGCCTGCTCCTTTGGCCTTACTCTGCAATCTTAACAGGAGTCCTCAAGTTGGAGCATAGAGAGATGCCCCTGTAAGGGAAACAGAAAGCCAGAGTTCCGGGCTCAGCTCTGCCAGAGACTTCCTACGTGTGCTTCCTGAGTGTCTCCTGGGTGGGAGGCACTGGACAGGGTGTGGGGGATGCAATGAAAAGCAAAGACGGGGTCCCTGCCCTCGGGCAGCTTACCACTTATTTAAGGACAGAGCACTGGCCAAATAATCATATGAGTGGGTGGGCGATTGTTATACAGACTGTCGGGGAGGGAGAGCAGTGAGTTTTATGGAGCAGAGGAGCCTGACTGGGCTCTACACTCCCGTAGAACCCACTTCCCACACTCTTCCCACTTCCTGGGGTCACCTCCCCACAATTCTGCCTGCACTCTGTTATCTCAGGGTCTGCTTCTGAGGGAGCCCGAACTAAGACTGTGATGTTTTAGAAAAGTTTGATTTTGTTGCTGATATCTGAACACAGGCGTGATGTCTCAAAAAGTTCAGCTTTATAGCGTCTCTCAAAAATACAAAATATCCACCCCATTGGCAACATTTGAGTGAGCTGAGTGTTAGCCACCCACCTAAGGCAGGGCACGTTTGCCACCGGGCCCCACCTGGGCTGCTTCCTTTGGGAATGGTATCTCCCTGGACCCTGCAAGCACTGGAGTGGTGAGCCGTGGGCTCCACCATCTCTAAGGGCCCTTCCTGGTCGCACCTTCCACGATGCCAAGCCCCGCTCCCCTAAGAAGCCCTTCCCAGCCACGCATCCCGCTTCTGAGCTCCTGTCAGCACCAGCTGCCTGGGCAAAGAACAGGAGGGCACCCAGGGGACCTTCCCACCCTCCCATCTGCCACACCCCAAATTGCAGTCTCTACCCTGCCTCCATCTACCTGCCTTGCCCATGGGCAATTCTTTTTCTTTTTTTTTAAGATTTTATTTTATTTATTTATTTGACAGAGAGAGAGAGACACAGTGAGAAGGGGAACATAAGCAGGGGGAGTGGGAGAGGGAGAAGCAGGCTTCCCACTGAGCAAGGAGCCCGATGTGGGGCTCGTCCCAGGACCCTGGGATCATGACCTGAGCCAAAGGCAGACGCTCAAGGACTGAGCCACCCAGGCACCCGCCCATGGGCAATTCGTAACCAACTCGGGGGGGACAAGGCAGAAGCCAGCTGCCGTGGGAAGCTTTGGACACAGTTGATGGTACTCCAAGGTGTATGGTATATGGGCCTGAGGAGAAACACAGGGGGCTCACCGTTGTGATGGGGCAAAAATATCCCGTTCGGAAGCTCTAAGAGAAAGGCCTCCGTACGTTTTTCCTACAACAGATGGAAAAGGAACAGGAGGGTCACTTCGGCTGGGCTGGCAGATTCTGACCATGGGACTCGGGCGTCTCCATTGTACAGGTGCCCACAGGAGATCAGAAGTGGTCCCGGGACTCCATTTTTAAAGGGCATTGGAGCCAGATGTCCAGATAGTGAAGGACTGGGGAAAGTTGAGGGGCCTGAAACAGAGTTACCCTCACCCTAGGTCACAGGGACTATCTTCATATCTCTGTGTGATAGTCCAGGGGGAGAGCAAATAGGCAGGGCCCTCCATCAACCTTTATCTCACTCAGGAAGAGCCAGCCCCCCACCAGGAGGCCCTGCTCACTCTCTGACTCCCCTCAATCCCTCTGATCCAGCCACCCTGGCCCCCTCACTGCTCCCTGAACCATCGGGCACACTGTTGTCTTGGGGTTTTGGGTCCTCTCTTCCCCATGCCCCCAGAGCTCTCTCCGTCACCTCCTCCAATCTTTGCTCAAATACTTACCTTCTCAGTGAGGCCTTCCCCCACCTTCCTTTTTAGTATTACCCTCACCCACAGTCCCGATCCCCCCATCCCCTCTTCTGCTTTTTCATAGCATCATCCCCTGCTTCCATACTATATGGTTTACCTTACTGGGCTTATTGTTCATTACCTGCCCTCATCCTGCTAGAGTGTGGGTTCCACGAGGGTCCTTTGTTTTGTTCACTGACATATCCCAAGTACCTAAGACAAGGCTGGGCACATAGTAGGCGCTCAGTAGGTATTTGTTAAGTGTATGAAAGAGGGAAGTGGACAAGTTTAAGTTCTAGGGGCCACCCTGACCCCATGGGGTGTGGGGACGCCAGGGCAAGATGAGATCAGTGATAGAAAGTGAGTGAGGCTTTCAACTGCCTACATCAGCGACTCAGGGCCTCTTTCCGGGCCTGCTGATGGGTCCTTCAGGACCATGGAGAGGCCAGATGTAAGGAGAGACTCACCTGCTTTGCAAGGCCAGCAGGGTAAGGGCCCGGGGTGACTGTGGTACTGCTAGAGAAAAGAGATTCCCCTTTCAGGTCACAGCAGCTGCTTGGGGGTGCAGACTCAGAGAGCCTCCATCACAGCACCCCCTCCTCCTCTGCCCCCTACCTCATACACACCGCTCCAGGCGCTGACAGTGGGCAGGGAACGCACCCCTGACCACACTACCCCTCACCCCCCCATCGCTCGGTCAGTCCTCTTATTTCTTCTGAACATCCAAAACCAAAACAACATTACCTGTTTGGATTGAACTGGAGTTTTAACTCCTGATTTCTCGAGGAAAACACAGCCTTCGAAAGGAGATTCTATGGGAGTTGAAATTAGATCAGAACAGGAGAGGAGTTTATGTTCCAGCTAGAGGGATTCCCTTCACCCTGACCCCCATGAATGCTTGTGAGAGGGCTGGCCCCTCTAACGCGGTCCTCCCCCCACCCAACTGCTGGTCAGGTGTGTTCAGATCATGCCCGTGTGGGTTGCCGTGGGAGAAGGCACTGGCGATGCTGGGTGCTCCCAGAAGCCAGGGCAGGCTGGGGCTGGGTACGAGGCTCAGCCCAGTGGAATGGAAACCTTGGACAATGAGGCACTTGGCCATAGAATCACTGTTGCTGGAAGCCAGATGATGTCTTGGTTTTGAGGGGGTTGTCTATGGGCCTCCGTGATTCACACAGTCACCTTATAGACCAGAAATAGGACTTTTCTTTTCTTTTCTTTTCTTTTTTTTTTTTTAAAGATTTTATTTATTTATTTGAGACAGAGAGAATGAGATACAGAGAGCATGAGAGGGAGGAGGGTCAGAGGGAGAAGCAGACTCCCTGCTGAGCAGGGAGCCCGATGCAGGACTCGATCCCGGGACTCCAGGATCATGACCTGAGCCGAAGGCAGTGGCTTAACCGACTGAGCCACCCAGGCGCCCGAAATAGGACTTTTCACTACCAAAGATGACCCATTTCATTTTTTTTTTGAAGTTTTTATTTATTTATTTAAGTCATCTCTACACCAATATGGGGCTTGAACTCACAACCCCGAGATCAAGAGTCTCATGCTCTTCCGACTGAGCCAGCCAGGTGCCCCAGAGATGACCAGTTTCTTGACCAGAGTCATGCCAACTCCTGTGGCGGATCCCAAGGTCCTGTGTGTGCATCGGATGCTGCTGGGCTCACCTCTGGTGGAGCAACCATCCGGTCCCTCTTATCTGAGATACTTTCCCAACTTTAAGTTCTGTGGAATGGGAAATAGGAGTCCCAAGGGGTCTCAGAATAGAGAAGGGGAGACTTTGGGGGAAGCTGTATTTCCCCAGAAATAGAGTAGAGAACACACACGCTGAGCCCCTCATGAACTGTTTCTCTATCTTTCTCCTGGCTTTGTGGACAAGGACTTCTGATGCAGCCATGTCCAGGGAAGACAGTCAGAAGACTTGACAACTATCTGCAAGGCACTGAGCAGAGGGTGTCGGAGGCAAAACCCTTTAGTTGTTGAGGAGGTCCTTGGGGAGCGCTGGGAGCTGCGCTCAGGGGAGCTGGTGCTCAAGCATTTTAATGTGCTGACAACAGGTGCAGCTCTTTGGATGTGACTTGATCAAATATTAGCAGGAGACTCAACGCTGAGGTTTGGCGGTGAGGTCTACCGCTGCCTCAGTCAGCCGGCCCTGGAGGGGCCCCCCAAGTGGATCCAGGGCCCCTGAGGAACAAAGAATTTCAAGGCTTACTCACCCAGGAAACTGAGACAGAGGAGGTGTTGCTGGGCCCCAGCAGCACCAGGAAACCCGGCTGGGCGACCATGGCGGTGTGGCCATCAATGTGGACGGTGGGAGGGTCGGGAGCGCTGATGGTCAGTCTCACACTCGGTCTGGACTGATTAGGAGTCTGAATGAAGTTAAAGCAGAAAAGGTGCAGACAGGTAGAGAGGATGGAGTTCCTTAACTTCCAGCTTGGAGGAACGGGACCAGGATCATCTTAGGAGTCGGGCCTCCAAGTTTGTATTCTCGCTCTGCCGAAACTTGCTGCATGACCTTGGGAAGTTTACTTAAACCTCCCTGAGGTCCTTTAAGGTGAAGTGACATCCTCCTTTTCTTGGGCATGTGTAGGAAGTAAGAGCATAGATTTTGGAGCCAGAATCCCAGCTCCCCCACTTGTAGGCTGTGTGGACTGAGACAAATTTCTTCATCTCTCTGTTTTCATACTTGTAAAATAAGGATAAGCGTGTCTCCTCCATAAGGTTGTTGTGGGGATTAGATGAATTCAGTCGTGTAGAGTGCTTAGGACAGAGCCCGGCAGCTCGTCGTGCTATTGTTACCTGTTGCGATTGTGGTTTGTTCATCGGATGCCATATTCTAATAGCCTTTGGAGAGAGGACACTGAGCATTTTGGAGTCCAGGACTGGGTTCAAATCCTGGTTCTGCCGCCTACTGAGCAATATGAGCTTGGGCAGCTGAATTCACCTTGCTGTGCCTCAGTTTGCTGATGTATGAAAATGGAATGAAGCATGGAGTGTCTGGGGGTTATGTTGATGTAGGTGGAGGGGACTAGCACATAGTCACTGCTCACTGTTGCCCCCATGCACACCTCTGTCTGCCTCAGTAGGTATGCCTTAGTGGGGTCAGGGCCTGGTTCAGTAGTGAGTAATGATGCCAGCCACCTGGCCATGGGCCACCTGATCGGGGCGACGAGCTAAGCGCCTTACTTGGGTCCACTCCTCTAACCCTCACGGCACCTGTGAAGTAGCTGCATTGAATTTTGGAGTCCACAGTAGAAAACTCTGGCCAAATGGAATCTGCTTCTGCGGCCCAACCCTGCCCCAATCCCAGACTCCTTCCTGAGATCCTGGCTGCCGTGCTGGAGGGGAAGGAAGCTGGCAACACACCCACCTGGGGCCCAGGCTCCCACTCTCCCAGGGACAACAGTTGAATGAGCTCGGTAGCCTGGAAAAAGGGCAAAATGTGTGGCATTTAGAATCCTGTAGATCTGTTCTGAGCAGCTTTGGGGGCAGGGGTGTCAGTGTGGTTCAATGAGGTATAATTGCCCCCAACTGAATGACGACCCCCGTTGTCAGCATGGGAGGGGCCATTCACCTGGTTTCTCACCATGATATATTTAGAAATGTTAACATTTTGTTGTTGCAGTGATTTCCTCCCCCCAGTATTTTACTGTGAAGATTTCCACATATTCCTCAAAGATAAAAGAATTTTATAGGAACATTTGTATACTCATCACCTAGATTCTTCAATGAGCATTTCCTATACTCGCTTCATCACATTTCTATCCATCTATCCATACTCCATTGGTTTTGAAAATCATCAATCATGATAGAAAATAGTAAAAAAAAAATGTATAAAGTAAAAAGTACAAGTCTACCCCAACACCTCTTTCCCTTTTCCTCCAAGTTCTATTTTCAGGGGTAACTACTATTGGCATTTTGGAGTACATCCTGACTGTTTTCTACACACATGTAAGCATGCATAGATGAGAACATTCTAACCACATGGTCTCTGAGGAGATGACATTTGCACTGAGACCAACAGTGGCAGGAAGAATGTTCCAGGCAGAGAGACCAGCATGTACAAAGGCCCTGAGGTGGGTAGCAGCTCAGCCTGTGTGGCTGGAGTGTGGCAGGTAAGGAGACAGAGCTGGAGAGGTTAGCAGGGAGCTGCAGAGAGGAGCCTGGCTTTTGTTCACAGTGTGGTGAGGAGCTGCTACGGGCTTTTAGGTGATGACGTACCTGGATTTCTCCCTCATTTGATCCCCTCATTGACCCTGGGCACTTGCTCTTCTTGCAGACTTCTTTGGGTATGCCTCCTCGTCCCCATTCCGGCCACCTCCTCAGAGATGTCTTCACTGACTGCAGCACCCAGGGCAGCCCTGTCATCCCCACTAGTCACTTGCTGATCCATTGCTCTTATTTTAAATAAGATAAATTATTTTATTTTTCTGGCTGTTTCCTTGTTCAGTTTCTATTCTCCCCCTTGACTTTGAACTCTGCAAGGGCAGGGACCCTGGGTGCACAGGGCCTGGCACATAGTAGGCTTTCAATAAATATCTGTGGCATGAATGAATGGATAAGTGTTATGGAGAGAGAAACAATAAACGGACCTGGATGTTCAAGGAAGTCTTCCTAGAGGAGGGGACTTTTGTGCTGGGTTCTGAAGGCTGAATAGGAGTTCTCCAGGGAGGTCCAGAGGGAAGTGACTTACTTAGGTCCACCCAGAAAGGCACTCTGCCAGCTGGGCTGGGCCTTGGTTTCTTCATGTGAAAAGTAGAGCAATAAAGTTATGTAGTGCCCTTTCTTGAGCACTCACTTTGGAGTCCTGGGGGTCCACAAGGATCTCCTTGCCGGTGTAGAGGCAGGATAGGATGTCATTGTAGGTTTCTAGCCCAAAAGCCAGGTCCGCCATGCTGCCTTGGGCTAATTTTGGAAGGGGTTGGGGGGGGTTAGGCGGGCAGGCCTTCGGGGTCTCTGGCTGGGGCTGCAGGGTGTCACAAGCTTCAGAAAAATGAAGAAGGAGAAATTCAGTGGGAACAGTTTCCCTGGCCAACAACCGGTTCCAGCTGTAACCAATATCACGGGCTCACTACGTGCTAGGCAGCGCTGAACACACGTGCGCATGCGTGCACTCTCATTTCAGCCTTGCAAGGGTGCCGTGAGATGGGAACTCCAACTGTCCCTATTTGACAGATGAGGAAACAGAAGCCGGGAAGCCCGGAGCGGTAAAGTGACTTGCTCAAGGTCCTACACATTCTAAGAGGTGGAGCTGGGTTTTGAACGCACGAGCCCCCTCTCCTTGCTTCTCCCTCATCTGACCCCATTCCCTCCTCTGTGCCTTTGTTAACAGCGCCTTCTTCCTATGCTCTCGTACCCTTCTTGCCCACCTGACCCACCTCTGACCATTCCATGGGAAGGAGGAGGGAGCATTGAATGGGAGTTGGGCAGCCAGCCTCATCCCTTCTGTGGGCCTCAGTTTCCCCATCTGAGGGGTCCGTTCCAGCTGGGCGTTACTCATGACCCTGCACCCCTGAAATGCCCCACTTGCCCTCTTGTTGGAGCCTGATGCCCGCTCACAGGACACGTAGCCCTGTGGCCACCCCTGCTCTCCAGCGCTGAGGCGGGACTCTCCGGGCTCAGCACCAGCTCCCGAGGCCGGGGGCCGCCAGGTGCCCCCTTCCTTCTCCCTCCTTCTCTCTCTCCTCCTCTTTTGCCTACCGCCTTTTACCTGCTCCTTCTCCTCCTCCTTCTCTTCTTCATGCCTCCTATCCAGAGAAGCCCCACCTCACTTTCCTCTTTGCCCATCCTCCCCCAGGCCAGTGGAAGTCCCTGGAGGGTCTGCCCTGGCCGGGGGGTGTGGGGGGTGGCATATCGGGACGTTCATCAGGATGGCCTCGTCTGTGAGCTCCGTGGTGGTGACATAGTATTGGAAGTCTTCAGGGCCCAAAGATGGCCGGGGCTGCAACGAAACCAGGACTCAGCTTCCCCTGGGGGAGGGTGGATGGGTGTGGGGAGGCAGCGAAGCAGGCAGAAATTTGCCCTCTGTCTCTGCTTAGTTTGAAGTTCCTTGCGGGCTAGGTCTGTGCTTCTTGTGACAATGAACATTTATTGAGCAATAGCTTTGCGCCAGGTTATATGTATTATTGCAGCAGTGCGGTCCACTCTGTAGGCCTAGGATTAGTCCCATTTTACAGATTGGGAGACTGAGGCTCCAGGGGAAAATGACTCGCTGAGGTCGTAAGACACAGTGCACTTTCTCACTCTCACTAAAAGGAGGCTCCCTGTGGGTAGGCTTTGTTTTGTTTCCTGTTATATTCTTAGAGCCTAGAGCATCGTTCTTGGCACACAGTAGGGGAATGGAAAATAAGCCCCTTCCTTGGTCAGGGGCTACGTACACAGAGTGACATGCAGCAGGCCTTCCAGCAGTGAGTTGAGTAGGGTCATGGCCAGGGGGCATACCTGCAGGGAAGGCATGAAGGGGTCCTTGTCAGGTTGAGGGGCTCTCCCTCGGGGTCACACCCCTCTCCCAGGAGGCAGAGGAGGATAAAAAACATACTACCTTCTGCAGGAGGAAGGGCAATGCCTCATCCAAGACACTTGTCACCAACTCCAGAGCTGCGTTTGCCAGGAGGGGGTCCATCCTAGTGGTGGGGGAGGGTAGGTGGGGTCTGAGACACCATGGAAGGGGAAACTGAGGCCACAGGCAGGAGTCCAGGGCAGGGCTGGAGGGACTGTGTGACATGGAAACTCTAGAGTGGCTGCTTCCTTCCTGGTGTCTCTCTTCTCCTCCCCCACCCCTACCCTTTCCTTTTCTGTTTTGTCCCCTTCATGCCTTCTTGCATTTTTTTTTTAAGATTATTTATTTATTTGATAGAGAGAGACAGTGAGAGAGGGAACACAAGCAGGGGGAGTGGGAGAGGGAGAAGCAGGCTCCCTGCTGAGCAGGGAGCCCGATGCGGGGCTAGATCCCAGGACCCTGAGATCATGACCTGAGCCCAAGGCAGACACTTAACGAACTGAGGCACCCAGGCGTTCCACCTCAGAGACTCTGATTTTAGGAATGAATATATTCCAAGGAAATAACAAGAACCCATGTTTGTTTGTTTGTTTTTAAGAATCCATGTTTTTTTTTTTTTTTTTAAAGATTTTATTTATTTATTTGACAGACAGAGACACAGCGAGAGGGAACACAAGCAGGGGGAGTGGGAGAGGGAGAAGCAGGCTTCCTGCTGAGCAGGGAGCCCAATGTGGGGCTCGATCCCAGGACCCTGGGATCACCCCTGAGCCGAAGCCTGATGCTTAACGACTGAGCCACCCAGGCGCCCCAGGAAGGCAAATTCTGCTGCTGGTGTTGGGGATGCCAGAAGAGGAGAAGCCTTGGGGAGGGAGATGGTACCGTCTCCCACCCCTGCCCTTCCCTGAGATCTTGCCTCCTGAAGCCCACCCCTTAAATTTTACCTGTTTCCAGCTAATTCTTGCTGATTCGCAGGAAGAGCAGATGTTGGGCCTTCCCTTGAGCCTGGAGCAGCAGCCCCCAACATAGCAGTGACCCCCAGACCAGCAGCATCCTCCCAGTCAAGACCTGTGGACATACAACTGGGAACCCCAGTGGCCACCTCCATGTGCCCACTGGGGACCCATTGTATAGGGTCTCCTAGCTCTGCCTCCCCTAGAACCTCTCTCCAGCTTTCCTCTCCTTGCCTTTCCCCCAGCTCCAGATCTGCTAGTCCTTGAACACCGCCTGCAACCCTCGCCACCTCACACTAATGCTTTTGGTTCCTTCTTCCTGGAATGCCCTTCTGAGTCGTGTGGACTGCTTTCAAATCCAGGCTCTGCTACTTCCTGACTGTGTGACCCTGAGCAACTTACTTGACCTCTCCGCGCCTCAATGTTCTCATCTGTAAAATGGGGATAAGCATAGGTTGTTGTGAGGAACACATTCAACAGTATATGCAGAGCACTTAGCAAGCAGGGTGCTCAACAGCTTGTTTATGTGGCTGGGCGACATTGTGAGATGTTAGAAGATGTAGTACTCCCTTTGAACTGTGGAGGTTTCTGGATCTTGATGGAGGACAGGGGATGAGGGTCCTGGGGGAGGTGTTAGATTGGCTGGGGTGGGCACCAGGGAGAGGGGCCTGAAACCCCAGCTCTTTACCAGCTAGTAGGGAAATATTTCAGTATTTCAACCAAAATGTTTGTACAGGTTCTTACAGCTGAACTTCAGCCCTGCCCAGGTGGCCAAAGGACATAGTCGGGACCCTGGAGCTCACAGGCAGGGGTCCCTCCGGGTGGGCAAGGGGGTGTCCCCAGCAGATTCAGCCTCTGGAACTGCGTGCAGAGACCATTAGCAGGGCCCACCTCTGGAACTGCATGCAGAGACCATTAGCAGCCCCCCCAGCCCCCAACATGCTGCACCCATGAAGCAGCCACCCAGAGTGTAAATGCTGCCCCTGAGCGAGGACAGGAGGCCCTCAAAGGCTGAGCCTACTCTGAAGTACCTGAGAAAATCCTGCCAATGCCTGGAATTAGTAGCATCCAATTTTTTGTTGCTTGGTGTCATAGGAGCTCAGAACAGTGATTACATTGGGTAATAAAAAATGTATTTGTTCGTTTGCATATGTGAGTTTTGGACTGGAAAATTTGTTCTCATGGCATTAAATATTCATATTTTGCTTCCAGGCTGATCTGAAATTCACCCACGATTCATCCCACCAGAGTTTAGTTGGTCCCTATTTTGGCACTTTTCTCAATCAGTTCACCCAAGTCGGGTCTCCCCTCCCTTCCTGCCCTTTGTACATCACACCGTCTCCCAGCTCTCTCCCCCTCTTGCCTTAAATCATCCTTACCAGCCCCAACTTCTACTTGAGTGCTTACTATGGGGCAGGCACCATGCCAAGAATGTTGTAAAGCTTCATCACATCACTGAGTCCCCACCACAATGGTCTGGGATCACGGATCTCAAGTCCAGTTTACAGATGACAAAACTGAGGCTCAGAGAGGAAAGACGAATTGCCCAGGGTCACACAGGTGGCAGAGCTTGGATTCGAACCACTTAAAACCTGTGCACCACTTCACATTCTTGTAGGTGCTCAAGAAACGTTTGAGAAGTGCCCTCCTTGTCCTTACCTCTCCAGTCACAGGATTGCCCGACATCTCCCTGGTCTCTGTCTCCAGCCTCCCAGAAAGGCACAACTTTCATAACCTGAGCTCGGAAGCCTGGCTGGGTGGGGCCAGGGCTTGTGCTCAGAGGAGCTCTTCAGTGGAGGAAGGGGTCCCCTTGGCATCAGGCGGCAAGGGGCTTCTGGCCAAAACTGATAGGGCTCATCACTGAGGCCTGAGTGGCAGGCACTGGGTCCAGGGCCAACAGACCTCAGCGGGGGAGGTGGGGAGGGGGCTCTGTGGGTTTGGGGGTGGGTCCTTTACCTTAGGAATGACATCAGAGGTGCGGAGCCTGGGGCAGGGCCTTCAGCTCTTGGGAGAGAGCCGAGGAAGCTCCCAATACAGGATTTGGCAGTCTCAGAACCTAATGAGTAAGGGAGTGTGTTGGGGGTGTATGGAGGAGAGCAGGTGAGTGGTAGAGCCAGTCCTTTCCATACATGGTTCTGTGCCATGCCTCAGCAGCCGGCCAGGCCTGGGTTCAAATGCCCACCGTCACTCAGTAGCTGTGTAACTGTGGGCAAGTTACTTTTTCTTCCTTTCATGTCTGTAAAGTGGGAATAATAAACCCACGTATGTCTTTGTGGTGTTTGTGAAGATTCACTGAGGTAACTCAAATAGATGTCAGCACAGGGCCAGATCCATGGGAAGGGTTCAAAAAAGCTACTTATTTTAATTTCCATCTTAGAGAGGAGAACATTGAGGCTAAGAGAGGTTAAGTGATTTGCTCCAGGTCACACAGCTTGTCCTCTGTGGCAAAAGTAGGATTTGAAATCAGGGCCCAGAGAAGGGACTGGCTACCCAGTGAAAGGGAAATTCGGTGTGCAAGGGTCCTCTTACGTGGGGATCCTGGTGCCCCTGTTGGGAGCGGGCGCGGCTGGCCCCATCAGCCCAGCCTCCTTCATTAACTGCTGCCCGTGCACGTAGCGGGTCGGAGAGGTGATCCCAGGAGATGCCGGTAGAGGGGGAAAGAGAGGCCGGGAAGGAGACGGCCCTTAAAGGTGTGGTAGTAAGCAGGTGACCCCCATGGGCTTGGTCCTCTGGGGTGCTGTGGGAGCCAGCGTGGAGTTGCTCCCCTGCCCCAGTGGCTGAGTAAACAGGTTCTTTATCCACCAACCTCCAGGATACCCCTCCTCCAGGAAGAGATCATGGGTGGCCAGAACCCGGGAGCCAAGGCTGTTTTGGAGAAGATGGAACCAAAGACTTAGAGGCCCTGCCCCATCTTCCAGGATCCTGGAAGCGCCCCTTCCCCTCAGACCCTCGTACAACCCTAGGGAACCAGAAGGGACCTGCCACCGACCGACAAGGGGGAGATTGGCTTTCTCATCTTCATGGTGAGAGAGGGTTCAAATTCAGACTCAGTTATGATTTAAGAAAATAATGGAATGTGATGTGTGGGGATGTCGACGCAAAGTGTGTCTGGGAGTAGGGGATGCGTGAGGAAGCTGCCACACGGGGCCTGGCCCCATAAGTGTTGCTGATCCTATGTAAGCACCTCGTGCAGGGCTTGTCCTGTCTCTTCTGTGTCCCTCTCGGCCTAGCCCATGTCTGGTAGACGGGAGAAGCTCCTTCCGGGCTGCATTCCCAGGCAGTCACCTGGTCTTATGCCAGTTTATGCCCTGAAGTTGGGTCATGCCTTTTCCTGAAACACCCACCTGTCCCTTCCTGTGGTCCCTTGTGTAACTGAAGGGCTCTGTGTACTGGGGCAGGCCCGGAGTCTGGAGAACAGGGGCCCTGTTGTTTGTCCTGAAACTGCCGGGTTCAGGGAGGCCAGGAAACAATGACTGTCCAAGTGGGAAGGGCCTTTAGTGATGAGTCGTGACATCCTGAAGGCCGGGGATTAATAGTGACAATGACATCACCCACCGATGATATTATCCGGGTCCTCCCATGTGCCAGGAACCCTGCTGTCGCATTTCATCCTCATCCCCTTGCCTCCTCCAAGGTGGGGACTATGATTCTCCCCATTTTATAGAGAAGGAAAAGGAGGCCCACAGAGGGGAAGCCACATCCCAGGGTCAAACTACTCTTGAGGGGTCATGCCAGAACTCAAAGCCTAGTTCATTTGCCTCCAGAGTCACCCTGTTCCGAGAGCCCTCAAGTCACCACACTATCTAGATTGACAAAACATGTGTCCCCCACCTAAGAGGTTGTCCCACACTAGGTGCTATTGAGGCTGACACAGAAGGTAGGTGGGCAGTGTTGGCTTTCTTATTCCTGAAGCCCAGAGAGGCAGCCACGACCCTGGACATATATAGTCCGTATATAGTCTGTATATGGCCCAGACATAGCTCGGGCATGGCCCAGATTGGCTCAGAGGTCCCTAAACATGACGCAGATATGGCTTGGATGTCCAGTTCCCAAGCCTGCCAGAAGCAAAATGACTCCTGAGTTAGGACAAAGATACACTCCAGACCGTGGGAGTCACAGACAAGTATTTATTTATTGCAGAGAGACAGTCTACATACTCCCTCTGGGACCCAGCCTACTCTGGATGGCCACCATCCAAGTCTTCATGGGAGAGAGGAGAGCAGTCCTGGGGTCTACGAGGAGGCTGGGGTGACCACAAGGGAATCCTGGAGTTGGAGGAAAAAAGTCAATTCAGTGTTTTACCTCCTGCCTTGATGTGGTTTATGCAGGTGGTCCTCCACAGGGTGGCCACTGGACCTGGGGATCATGACCCTGAACTCACTCACAGAATTCTTGGAAGGGTCAGAGGAGTAGAGTGTGTGTGTGTGAACGGTGATGTGGTGCAGGGGTCTGGGCTACAGGTAAAGTATCTGCATGCAGAGGATGGGATTGTGTAGGAGCGTTGTCCTCAAGTCCAGGTGATCACCAAACTCCCCAAGAGGTTTCATAAAATGCAGATTCCTGGCTGTATTCACTGCGTCCCAGCCAGCTAACTTTTTTTTTTTTAAGATTTTATTTATTTATTTGACAGAGAGAGAGAGATAGCGAGAGCAGGAACACAAGCAGGGGGAGTGGGAGAGGGAGAAACAGGCTTCCCGCGGAGCAGGGAGCCCGATGCGGGGCTCGATCCCAGGACCCTGAGATCATGACCTGAGCCGAAGGCAGACACTTAACGACTGAGCCACCCAGGCGCCCCAACCAGCTAACTTTTTAATAACATCGCCCTGCTTTTTTTTTTATGCAAGGAACTTAACCTATTAGATTTCCCGCAATATTTTATTATGATAATTTTTAAACAGAGAGTAAAGTGGAAAGAATTTCCCAGTGACCACTTGTATACTAAGCATCTAGATTCTACCATTAGCTCTATCTAAACCATACTTGTTTTACCTCATATCTGTCCATTTATTCATTCCTTCAGCTAGCTTTTAAAACATATATTACAAAGCTATAAAAAGGAAATCAATGAGCTGCTAACTCAAAATAAATGAACAGAGCAAAACAGGAAACTTGGAAACAGATCCAAAGAATGACACGATACCTTTCCAACCCAAAGTGCAAATGATGGATTATGCAATGCAAGCTGAGTAAAAAAAAAAAAAATGGAGGAAAGTACCTAAATGCCCCTTCTTAAGAGATATGTGAAATAAATCAAGCTCTAGCCATCCAGTTGTATGGACACTTGTTCATCCAACATGAATCAAGTGTACCATGTATTTTAGATAAACTGCTTATATTATAACTGGATCATTGTAATGTAGTCTATTAGGGTATGACCCGGGTATTCATACAGTGGCTGGGTTTTACAGAGGAGGAAGCTGGGCTCAGGCCAGAGGACCTGCCTGAGGTCATGGCTAGAGAGAGGCAGAGCCGGGATTGCACTGGGGCTCTGGTTCCCAAGTTTTGACTTTCAGCCTCTCTCCGTACTGTCCACAGCACTGTTCTCATTATTCTCCATCACAGCCAGCTGAAGGGTGGGACACAGATTTTGAGGGTGGGCCACTCATATTATACATCCACTTGCCTTTGAAGCTAGTTAACAAAGCCTCCTACCCTTACACCGAATGTGACCTTGTGGCGTGGGGAGGCATTTTTGATACTTCGTTTCCTCTCTGAATTTCTCCGGAGCGAAACAGCTCAGGAAGTCAGTGATACCAATCCACAGCTTTGGGCAAATCAGGACTAATATGAGTTAAAGGTTTGGCCCAAAGTGCCTTCTGTCCTTGGGTTGGACACCTTGGCCATGGAAGGGTAGGCAATCACCTGTGGGTTTTCTTAATTCTAAATAATTCTACTTCCAATGTCTCCCCTACCTAGAGTGGACTAGAAACTTCAAGAAGGTAGGAGTTTTGTTCACCGTTGTGGTCAGTGCCTGGTATACAGTAGGTGCTTAGGAAATACCTGCTGGCTGGCTGACTGAGACGGGCCCACCTCACTGTCACTGGCTCCTGCAGAAGTTGGGACCCAAAGCAGGTGTTATGGGGGCAGGTGCAGAGTGCGAATCCCAACTTTGCCGCCTGCTGCATGCATGTCCTTGGAATTGGATTTGCCGTTTTTGAGTCTCAGTTTCCCTATCTGTAAAATGGGGATTACAGCAGGATCTGCCACATCAATGGGTGTGAAGACTGAACAAGATGCTGTTCAGTGGCACAAAACGATGATGGGCTATTGAGTACTATTAATGCTAATATTTGGGGGATGGGAGTGATGCTGCTACAGCCCCCCTCCCTAGCAGCTGTCAAGGAGGGTCAATGCTCAGCGAGCGTCTCTTGAGCACTTACCGTGGGCCAGGCCTTACTGAATGAAGGAACAAGTGAATGAATGAATAACGGGTAGACTGGGGAGGGCTGGAGGGGAATGCTCCCCAGGCTAGGACAGTCTTACACTCTTACACTTACAGATGAGGAAGTGAGGTCCGGAGAAAAGAAGGGGCTGGTCCAGGGCCCCCCCATGAGTGGCCGGCTGGGTCAGCATTGGAGTGCAGGCCCTGCCTCCCAGCCCAGGACTCCCCCAGCAACTGTGCCTTCCCTGGGGCAGGACGTTTAAGCCCACTCACCTTGGTAAGAAAGAATGAAGCTTCCTTGAATCCCCAGGCCTTCACCATCGATATTGGGATCCCAGATCTTAATTTGCCTGAAATAATAAATGTGGTCAGAGACCACTGGGCTTGGGGTGGGGTTGAGCAGCCATGGGCAGGGAACTCAGGGCCCAGCACACCCAGTTCGGACTGTCCCTCCTACCTCTGCTCAGTTGCCCTCTGGCCCCAGCACCCACCCAGCCTCATCTCCCTGCCCCATGCTTCCAGCACCAGCTGCTGGCTGCTCCCAAGGGCACCCCTCACTCCTCTCACACTTCTGCTAAAGAGCCATCAGGGGCTCCTGTCATTCACAACAGAGGTGTCTATTCTAATAAAATAAGTGAAAAAGAGGTAGTTGGCGTAGGTTACTAATTCTCCCCACCCCCGCAACCTGGGGCTTAATCAGATTACGTCTACCATTTCTCTCAGCTTCCTCCACTAGTAACACAAATAACAACGCAAACATCAGCAATGGTTAAGAGATGTTGAGACCCAACTGTGCCAGGCTCCTCCTTCAGCCCCTTATAAACATCATCTTCTTTATGTGCCGGAGGAAGGTACTTTTATTTTCCCATTTTACAGATGGAGAAACTGAGTTCGCATGATAAGGCAGCTTGTTTGAGGCCAGGTAGCCAACAAGAAGGGGAATCAGCCCTTGAACCCAGGTCTCCCTGAGGCACCTCGAATGTGCTCCAGCTGTTTACAACTCTGTCTCTCTCCCGCCATCAGCCCTGTGAGGTGGGGGCATTGCCTGGTTCACCTTGCATGCCTAGGTTCTGCACTAGTAAAGGAACTGGCCAGGGAAGTTGGAGATGGAAGAGGTCATTTCTAGTTGGGTGACCGGAAGGCTTCCTGGAGGAGGTAGAATTTGGAGTAGATTCTGAGGATGGATGGAAAGTGAGATGCAGGCAGGAGGAGTGAAGCACCCACCCTCAAAGCCCAGGGGAATGGGGGATGAATAGCAAAGGGACGCACTGTTCTCATTTGGCAGTAGGACAGAGACGAGGATCTCAGTGGTGATGTTTTTCAGAAGTTCAGGCTGTGAAAGAGAGGGGCATTGTTACCCTGGCTGAGGATCCAAAGTCCCCCAAGCCCTACCCCTTGGCCAGAGCAGCCAGGGAGATGCTGGAATCCCAGGCTCCTGCCAGTCAGAACTGAGGGTTCCCAGGACCAGCCAGGCCAGGGCCAGTACAAATCCAGCTGGGCCCTGAGTCCCAGGGCATGGGGGCGGGTGTTGGGGATTAGAGGGATGCACCCCCCACCCTCAGGGGCTCCACTGCTGTGTTCTAGCTGAATTTGCCCTGAGGGAATTTCTCCCTGTTTCCTGAATTTTGACTTCTCCAGTGAAGTCAAAGTTCTGATTTTCATGCGGGAACCTCTCCACTTAAAAATTAGCCAAAACCAAAAAAAACAAAAGAAAAAAAGCACAAAACATGTGGACCAAAAAACAAAACAAAAAAAACCATGGCAGAAGACAGAATTCAGCCGGTCTGGGATCTCTGATCCACTCTAACTCAGCTGGGGAAACGGAGGACCAGAGGGAAGGGGCTATCCAGGGTCACTGAGATGAGTCTACGTGAGCAAAATGAGATTTGCAAAAAGGGAAGGGATATGTTTTCTCATTAAGAATCAAGATGTTACAGAAGAAAAGTGAATGTGTATCTGTGTATCTGTGAGTATGCATGTGTTCTCAGCCATGTCCGGCATATAGCAGGTGCTCAGTAAACACCAGAGCGGGGAGGTTGGACTTTGTGGCTGATAATGTGGAGAATGGCCAGCCCACCATGGGGCTGCCTAGGGTGAACTTGTTCCAAGCAAATCTTGGTCAGTGACTCTTTTTTTAAATGGACCATCCTGGGCTGCCCCTGTGCCCCAGGGACAATCTATTAATACTCACGCGGAACAGGCCAATGCTTGAGTTCATCAAGTGGATCCGATCAGAGCTGCAAAGGAAGATGCCCTTGAGAATGGCCTCTCAGAGGCTCGCTCATTCATTCATTCATTTGACAACTATTTATGGAGCACCTACTATGTAGGGTTTGACTTATCCCAAGAGGCTCCAGTTAGCAACCCCTGAACTCCCTTTGGGGTAGCAGGAGGGCTGTGGGATGTGGGGAGAAAGTGGGCAGAGGTGCAAAAGGCAGCTGGAGAGCTGTGCTTCCTGCCTGGGCTCATGGGTTGACTGACGGTCACTGCCACTGTCTTGGAGTCCTCCAGGATGGGCTGAGGGGATGGTGCTGGGCATGCTGTTCCCATGGCCAAGGTCAGCCTGTTCCAAGGCTGCTGCAAAACCACTCTTCTTTCCTTCCCTTTCTCTGATGTTTGGTCCCCAAAGCGGGACAGTCCAGACTAGGTCACCTTTCTGCACGTTCCAGAGTAGCCTTTACTCCATGCTTATACCCCAGAGGTTCAAAACACTTGGTGTTTAAAGCAACCCACTGGTCACAAGGTGAGACAATGATTTACATGTTTACCTGATTTCATTAAAGTTGAGCATAAGTCGGTCATCTTTGGTGTAAAACTGGGCTTCTGAGCTGGCTTCCTGCAAGGAGAGAAGCCCGTTTCTTTCAGGGGTTGTGTCAAGCACAGGGGGAGAAAGGCTCTTCCAGCTGATGTTGCCAACCTGATAGGATATTATCAGCTTGGGGCACTTCCATGAGGGGCTAATCTCTCTGAGGCTGAAGGCAGAAAACAAAGTTGCCAGATGGGAAGAGAAGAGTGAAGATGACATTGTTTGAGCACCTGGATCCAGCTATTTTTGAAGCTAGACCATCTGGACTTCTCAGTTACATGAGTGAGTGCAATTCCTTCTGTGCATGTGAATTAAGTGTCTGCCCAAAGAGCGTAACTATTAAAGTCACAGGACCAGAGCTGGGCCTCCAGCTGGGTGACAAGAGTGGTGGAAACGGTTAAGAAAGCAAGAGGGGTGAACAGGAACAGTGAACTGGAGGGTCCCCCAGGTTGCTGCTCATGCCACAGACAGGTGAACTCACGATGCCCAGGGTAAAGAAGGGGTAGTGGGCTTCATTGGTGGCGAAGACTTCCAGCACGATCAACTGGGCCACCCTGGCACTGCCCTGGTCCAGAAGGAGCTCTGGGGTCTCCCGAGTTAGGATCTTCACCATCTGTGTGGGCCCCAGCTGATTCGCAGCCTGGAAGGACATCAGATCCGCGGGAGGCCTCCCGAGTGCCTCACCATGACCCACAGGCCCCATGTAGCCCTTGCGGCCTGGGCCCTGGCCCCCCTCCTGGCCTCCCTCCTTCCTCTCCTACTCCAGCCACCATCCTTCTCTCTGATCCTGGAGTGGATTTTTGTTGTCCCCATCTCACAGCCTTTGGTTTTGCTTCTCCCTCTGTCTGGGATACCCTTTTCTTCAGGGAAGCTCTCTCTCATTTCCTGGGTTACATTAGGCGCCCCCGTAATGCCCTCACAACCCCTAGAATCTATCCTCTGTCCACACTTGTAGCGGAAATCGCATCTGTGTACTTGATCCAGGTCGCACTGCCCTGTTAGCCCAACTCCCCAGGGGTCAGTCCTACACGTATTTCACTCCCCAGGGGTCAGTGGACAGACCACAGCAAGCACTGCAGACGGCAAGTGGACCAACCTGTTCACTGATCACCTTGATGTTTGACTTCAACCGGTGGGCCAGCTCAGGAAGCTGAGGATGAGGGGAAGGCAGAGCAGGTCAGCCTGAGGGGAGAGGGGAGATGCACCTCCAGCCGCCCACTGCCCAGATCCCCAGGACCCCAGAAAAGCTGGGTGGGCCTGATGGACCAGGCCCCATGACTGTCCCTGGTGGAAACCAGCCCCTGTGTCAACTGCTGTGGGGCATGGGGTCCTCACTGGCCTGGACTTTTACTGCGGGTTGTTGGTGGTTGTGGGTCTTGGGCAGCTCCCCGCTCCCCGAGGACATGGAGACATGAGCCAATTCTTACTATAGTCATGAATGTGGTTGCCGGTGACCATTCCCCTTTTCTCATCATACTAACTTTGGGCCAACCCCTTCCCCCTCCGGGCCTCAGTTTCCCCATTGGTCACTCTAGAAGAGGTGGCACACTCCAATTGACTGGTGGTGGTTGTCTGCTGTGCTGGGTTGATAAGGATTCCGAGACCATGTCGGCATCTAGGCTCACTAGTAAGGAGGATCCTGATCGATTAGTGAGGTCTGCCGTGAGTCCCACAGTGGACAGCAGGGGCACGACTGCTACCCTTAGACCACTCACTATCTAAGATGCCCTTTGACCTGTTATTTGGTAGAGGAAGCAGGTGTATCAGGTTCCAGAGGGCAGACCTAGGACTGGCGCTGGATGTTACAAGGAAATTTGCAGCTTTAGAGCTCTATGTCAGAGGCAGGGTCTGAGAGGAGGGAGTGAGCTCTCTATTACTGGAGGGATTTAAGCTGAGCCTGACAGGGGATTACTGCTCAGAGGCTTAGGGCAGCCCTTGAGCCCCCTCAATTCAGGAAATTCCCATGATGCCGCAGAGGGGGCCCCATTCTCTCATGCTGAGACTGACCACATAGTCCAACAGGACTACGATTTCCTCTGGAGGAAGCAAGGCAGTTACTGCAGCGTTCACCACGTCCTGCCTCACAGTGAGGCTGAAGGGGGTGCTGTCCAGGTAGGGCACTGTTAGGGAAATTGCAGACTTGTTGAACCACTTGGTCACGTCTCCATGGGAGTCCAACAACTTGGCCTAAGAAGACACAAAGCAGACAGTTGGCTGGGGACCTTAACTCCAAAAACTTACCCAATAACGACCTAGAAGAAAATGACAGCATTCAGCCTGTTTCCCTTTGTGCCTTTGCTGACAGGACGCTTAGCCTGGAATTCAGTGCCTTCCCTGAGGTGATGAGTGATCTCACGTGGCCGGCAACGTCTACTCCTCCAGCACCCCTCAGTCTGATTTTTTAAAACCTAGATGTCTTCTTTGGCATTTAGGTTTTGACTTCTCAGACACCTCACGAACCCTTTGGATGAAGGGAAAATTCAAAATTGCAACAAAATTGATGAAAATGTTTGATTGCTGCCATTTCCCAAAGGATCCGTGAAAACTGCGCTGGGCCTCCTGCTGTCCAGGTTCGCCTGGTCCTTCAGGGAGCCCAGCCCCAGTATGAGCGGGCGGCCCCACATTTCACAGAGCGCTGACAGTTTCTGGCTCCTCCTGCCTGCCAGGCCCTGTGCAGCCTCACTCTGTCTTCCCCTTTGTGACTAGTACTGTCTGCATTTACAGATGAGGAAACTGAGGCTCAGAGAAGTGACAGAACTTGCCCAAAGTTACACAGCCAGGGAGTTGTGAAGCTGGGAGAGACACTCAGGTCTGTGTGATCTCCAGGGATGGGTCTTGATCCTGGGCTCTAGTTTCAAGGTCATCAGATATTTGGGGTTTGGCAGGGGCTCGCCTCAGAGGAAGGCCAAGAGCCCCAGTGCATACGCTGGCCTCTGACTGGGAAAACCAGAGGCGGAGGCCAGGTTGCTGGGGCTGATGCTCTGTGTGTTGCCCTTGGGTTCCACCTGCTGGGGTTCCTCCATCAGGATGGTTTACATGGGACAGGTTCGGCCCATTGAGTTCCTAAATCAGCCTGTGTGTCCTAACCGTGAGTGGTGTTTTCTCCCCTAAAACAGACCCATGGTGTTTGGTCCTTGGCAGTCAGAGAAGGACAGTGGTGTCTCCACTTTCCTTTTGAGGTCCCATGACACTCACCCCCAGCTCGAGCTGGATGACATCACCCTTGATGGCAGGAGACAGAAGGTCAAACTCCAGGCGGTCAGAGCCGAGGGAAACGGGCACTGCTCGGGGACAAGAAGAAAGTTCTGTGAGGGAGGAGGGCAGTATTGGATGGGGCGCCTTGGGGGCTGCTTTTGGCTGGAGCTGCATTATTGCCTGGGGGTTGGTAGGGAGGAGAAGGAATAACGATGTTGACAATGAGAATGATGATGAGAATGACATTTATTGAGCATCTGTCAAGCTCCACGTGCTGTGTTAAACCTTTACACTTACACTTTACACTTACTTAGTCTTCACAATAACCTTAGGAGGTGGGTCCTATTATTACCCTCCTTTTACAGATGGGGAAACAGGCTCAGAAATGCAAAATGACTTGCTCAAGGTCATATTGTGAACAGATTTGAGCCCAGTCGGTCTGCTGCCAAGGTCCTGGCTTGGAACAAGACTGAACTATTATTTATAACTCTCTGCCTCCTCCAGGGGACCGTGATCCGCACCCCTCACCAGGACAGAGTACCTGGTGCACACCCATCTGTGCATTGGATCGCTTGTGTTCGCCTGAGGATTCCCCACTTGGCCGCCAGGTGGCAGTGGTGTCTCACCTGCCCTGGCTCCTGGGCCGAGACTGGGGAGGGCTGCTGAGAGATAGGTTCAGGGACAGGCAGGGAGTGAATCCTTGGACCACCTGCTCCCCTAGGGAGACCTCCTGCCCTGCCCCTGAGGAGCACAGGAGCCAGACAGACTTCTGTTCGAGCCCCAGTAGCCTTGGCTACTCTATTCCTACCTCTGAACCTCAATTTTTCCCATCTTAAAATAGGGGTAGATACCATAGTAATACCTGCCTCATGGGTTGTACAGGACTGATCCCTATTTAAGTTGGCTCATATCTGAATTACACCAGACTTGGAACTTGCAGAAGTGGGTTCAAGCCTTCTCCTATCACTAATTTCCTCTGTGTGCTTGGACAAATGACTTAGTTTCTCTGAGCCTCAGTTTTCTTATCTGTGAAGTGGGGTGATGATGGCTACTTCATGGAGTTATCTGAGACCCAGCCCAGTAGAAGCTCTTTGGGTGCTCACTGCGAACTGATTCCATTCTCCTCTTCCCCCCCACCCTGGTCACCCTCTGAGTGAGCTTCTTCAGATCCCGAAACAGTGGATGGTAGCATTTTCTTCTTCCTGCTAATTCCCACTCTGAGACCTCTGAGCACAGCACAGTTGTGAAGTCGGGCAGAAGCCTGAGTCTGTCCAACTCTGCTATTATTGGGGAGGGAGAAATGGTCTCCTTCCTGAGCACACATCTTGCCTCTTCCCCTGTTTTCTCTTTTCTAATAGCCCACAGTAACTGCTGTCTCATCCACACATTCATTCGTTCATCCATTCAGTTCCTGTTTGTAAGCCCTTCTCTGTGCAGGCAAAGCGCCTATGTGCCTGGAACCTCCCTGGAAATAATCCTCACTAATAATCTTGTGATGTAGGGATGTAGAAACCCCATTTTACAGATGAGGAAACTGAGGAGGAGGTGGAGTGGCTTTCCCAAAGTGACAGAGCCAGTCAATGGCAGAGCTGGTATTTGAACTGGGAAATCTGACTCACATAGAAACTTGCACATAGTAGGCCCTTGTGAAGTCACAGATGTGGTGAATTCCTGTCTGCTCATCTTTGGGAGGGATTCACGGATGCTCATTGCACTTGCTGCTGGGCTAAGTTGCTGCTCAGGCTTGACCTGGGAGGCCTCTCCTGGGCAGAGCCAGGGTGTGGAGGCTGGCTCAGCAGTAAAGGAAAAAGGTGGGAGAGAGCAGAGCACCTACCCCTCACCAGGTGCAGGAGGTCTGCATGCATGTCCTCAAAGGCCGCCTGGATCACGGGACACAGCTGCAACAGCACAAATACAGAGGCTCCATGATCGGGGGGCCAGAACACAGCTTCACAGCGACCCGTGCCTGGCCCACCCAGCCCGAGCCCATGCGTCCATGGCCAGCCAGGCTTTTGTCCATGAGATTGAGGGCTTGGTGTTGTGTCCACTCCAGTCAGCCATCCCTGCCGTTCAGAGCCCACCCCGGCCCCCGGCGTCACCTGGGTTTTTTTGCAATGGTTTGTTCCTTACCCTATGCCCAGGGGGCACCTAGCTGGCCAGCTGCCCTCCCCATCGCACTCCTTGTGCTGTTCACGAGAGCCCATGTTTTCCATAAGAGGGAAATGGAGAATGCATTTCTTCATTCACTTACTTAGTCGACTGAGTTCCTTCTGCACATCAGACTCTAGAACAGGGCGGGCAAGGCAGACCCAGCCAGACTCGTGCACAATCTCTGTGCCTTTTGTGGGTTTTAATTCCAACACATCCCGTTGCCTACTCAGCTCTTCTTTCCCTAAAACAGCTAGCAGTTCTCAGCAGGGGGCTGATTCTTTTGCCTAGGAGATACTTGGAAATTTCTGGAGACGCTTTTAGTTGTCACAACTTGGGGGAGGTGTTATTGGCATCTAGTGGCTAGAGGCCAGGGAGGCCACTAAACACCCCACAGCATGTAGGACAGACAGCTCCCACAACAAGGAATTCTATGACCCGAATGTCGATAATGTGAAAGGTAAGAAACCCTGGCCTCACGTAATCCTGGCCTCGCCTGTTTTGCTTAAGGAGGAGGTTAAACCTCTGACTCACTTGCTCGTGGGACTCAAGAGCCTTGTTCTCGGACGCCTGGGTGGCGTAGTTGGTTAATCGTCCGACTCTTGGGTTTGGCTCAGGTCGTGATCTCAGGGTTGTGAGATCAAGCCCCACGTCGGGCTCAGCACTCAGCGTGGGTTCTCGTTGGGATTCTCTCTCCCTCCCCCTCAGCCCCTCCTGCTCATGCTCTCTCTCTCTCTCTCTCTCAAATAAATAAATCAATCTTAAAACAAACAAACAAACCGCAAAACCCAGAGTCTTGTTCTCTGTTCTAGGCAGCCCATTTTCTAGGTCAGTGCGCTGAGATTTTGTCATTTGTCTTAGATACAACATCCCCAGTGAAAGAATCTTCTGGTTGACCACCCACTGCTACTCTTGAGAAAGAACAGTGCACTTTGAGAAACTTTTTCTATGAAAGTTTTCTATGAACAGTTAACTTTTTCTATGAAAAATCCATTCCCTGCTTCTAGCTGCTTTGCCAACCCAGAACCCAGGGTTGGAGGACTTGGGCTTGGAGACCCCCAGCATTCGCTACCAAGGGCTGGCGTGTTCCTCATGGGAAAGGTGTTGCTGGCAAACTTGGCATTGTCTCTCACAATTCCCCTTCTTTCACTTTCACCAGTGGCTCTCAACCCTGACTACACATTAGAATCCTCCAGGAAACCAGCTAGAATTCCCTGGGATACTAAGGCCCTGCCCAGCCTCATTACATTAGAATCTCCATCAGGATTTGTAAAAGCTTCCCCAGGTGGTTCTGATGTGCAGCTAGGGTTGGGACACACATATTTCCACTGAAAAGGGCTTTGGCATTTTCTAGATGGGTTCCTGACAGATTTAAACATGGTCTGCCTTTTCCCTTCATTTCACTTAAAATATTCATATGACCATTGTATCAAATCCACTGACTCATGGTGGAAAACCATGGTGATTAATGGAATGCCCGTTTTCTCATATCATTCATTGCACTCATATACTTTCACCCTTAAAAACAGATATTATCCAAACAGCATTTTTATGCTCTATTTTCTAGTGGAAAATACATTTTTTAGCTAGTGAAGTATGGTGCCAATTAAAATATGATTTTGCTGAGGCTGGGAAAACATTTCCAGCTGGGCCCTACTTTAAGAAACTCCCACCTTTAGGGGCGCCTGGGTGGCTCAGTCGGTTAAGTGTCGGACTCTTGGTTTCAGCTCAGGTAGTGATCTCCAGGTTGGGAGATCGAGCCCTGCTTTGGGCTCCACGTGTAGTGCGGAGTCTACTTGAGTTTTTCTCCCTCCCTTTCCCCCTGTCCTTCCCGACTATGCTCTCACTTTCTTTCTCTCTCTAAAATAATAAAGAAACTTCCACCTTTAAATAGAAAAAAAAATTCTTAAAAAATACCTCATGTAAGAAAAGACAAATTTTACAGAATTCTTCACTTTCAGATTCCTTTTAGAAGTCTCTCTGGAATGGTGTAGTAAAGTACTAATATGATGCCGCTATTATAATAATTATGAATATTATACAGTGGCATAGAACATAAGGAATATCAAATTATATTGACACTGAGCACAGCCACATACAAAGATGAATGCATGTGGGTAGAGATTGGAAGGCATATATATACAAAAGAAAAAAATGGCTGCCAAGTTAAGGTGGAAGGATTATGGGCATTTTCCCCCCAAAGTCGTTTGAGTTATTATATCATCTTTTCAATCCAAAAAATGTTATTATAAAAAAACATTAGTCATCTGGCAAGCTGTTTCGAACCCCAGGAGGCCCACTGTGGTGAACCCATCTTGGAATTTACAGTGGAAAGCAATGGTCAAAGTTATAGTTTTAGTTCCCCTGTGACATACAAGGGACATATAAATTGAGATTAACTTGTGTTTATTGACTCAGAAAAATAAATCCAGCAGGGCCTGGTGGGTGACCGGCCCCTGAAGACCACAGGTTGATGTGACACAGCGGTATGCTAGACCCAGCTCGGACCACTTTGCGAGGGCCAAGTGTTAAATTTTCAGGAATTTCTGAGCCATGTGGTAGACCCAGACAGTTTTAAAAATTAAATTATATAAACTTATGACTAAATAAGTTATACTAAATGCAAAGCTAATAACTCAAAACTCATTACTTCCTAATTATTTTGTTATATTTTATTCTTCCCTATTGCCCTTGAGGTTATTTATGTCAGTTGCATCTGGGTGGTGGAAACACCATACAATAAGGTGCTGCTCTGTGTTTCTTACCAGCTCTGCTCAGTGACCTCGCATGAGTAGCTTGAAATTGTCGTTGGAGCGCGAGTTTACACCAGAGAAATCAGCAAGTGCTACAAATCAGGGTTCCTTCCACTCAACCTTCCCAGAGCCAGTTGTTAATAATTTATCAGCACATCACTGTTCAAGGTCTCCTGGGTGACTTTTGGCAGTTCCATTACCTTTACCTCAACGATCTACTTAAAGAATGGTCAGGCCCAGAAGTTTCCCACTCAAGGCGACGCAGGGCCCTGAGCACCAGCTCGCAGTTCCACCCCAGCCCCACAGGGGGAGCAATCTTTGCAGGCCGAGAGGCCCTGAGTCCACTCACCTGAGTTTTCACCAGCTTGGGCAGGGCTGGCACCAGGAGGCTCATGACCGTGTGGGCTAAGGAGTTGACCAGGAAGGAGAGCCTTCCGGAGAGGAGAAGGGGAGAGAGATTAGGAAGGGTCAGAGATGACGCTGTTTTACCGAAGGGAAGACGGACGGCCCAGGGGAAGAAGGCGCTTGCTCAAGGTCACACAGCCTGTTCCAGACAGGGCTGGGGGTAGAGCCCCAGCCAGGTGTGGATGGTGGCAGAGAGTTCTCAGGGAGTAGAAGCTGGGGGTTGTCTTTAGAAATGCGTGCTGGAGACTGGGACGATAGCGTTGGCATTTCTCCCCATCCTCCCGATAAGGAGAAGTGGAGGGAAGCGCCGTGCCATGTGCTGAGTGCTTATGGCCGTAGCCGGAGCTGTAGCTCATCCCCTCACCGTGGCCTCCAAGCTGAGCCCCAGGGACGCAGGTCACCAGCAGCACTCGGACAGTAAATGAAGGTGATGCATTTGCTTGACTCCAAAGCATGTTTTTACCCAAAGCTCCACTCAGGCCTGCCCGAGGTGGTTTGAGGGGCCCTAGGAATGCGGCTCCTCTCCACCTTCAAATCTTTGCCCCACTTCCTGGCAGGATGCCTGAAATCCCACCATCCTTGTTTCTGCCCTTGATGTCCTGAACGTTCTTTGGCATCACAGATTCCCCGAAAGGAGCCCAGCTCAAGAGCCAGGAGGGATCAGTCCCTTTCTTTCTCTGGGCCTCAGTGTTCCCCGTCACCACCTGGCTTCCCTCCCAGGCGTGCTGGGAGCCCGGCGGGAGGTGGCCACACTCACGTATGCAGCAGGCTGATGCGCAGGCTCCCCGGGCTGTTCGAGCAGCCGTCGAGGACGAGGTGGGTGTTCTCCCTGGTGTTCACTCGGATGATGGCTTGTACCTCTGTTTCCATGTGTATCTCCACGATGGTCTTGACCAGGGGCCTGGGAATGGATGTGCCTGCACTGTCTCAGCCCCAGGTCGGAGCAAACCTGCTGTCTATCTCAGTCTGCAGGTTCTCTCCCCTCCCAGCTCCTCTGATGGCTTCTCCTCATCTCCCCCGGGTGTCACCCCACCAGGTTCAGGTTTGGGATTCCTGTCCCGGTTTAAATCCTCTGTCAACAGTTCCCAAACTTATACCCAACTCCTTACCCAGATGTCTTACAGGTGCCTTAAATTTAACATGTACAAAACCAAACTCTGGGGGCACCTGGGGGGGTCAGTCGATTAAGTGTCCAACTCTTGATTTCGGCTCAGGTCATGATCTCAGAGTTGGGCTCTGAGCTGGGCGTGGAGCCTGCTTAAGATTCTCTTTCTCCCTCTACTCCAGCACCCCCCTCTTTTTTTTTTTTTTTTAAAGATTTTATTTATTTATTTGACAGAGAGAGACGCAGTGAGAGCAGGAACACAAGCAGGGGGAGTGGGAGAGGGAGAAGCAGGCTTCCTGCAGAGCAGGGAGCCCGATGCGGGGCTCGATCCCAGGACCCTGGGATCATGACCTGAGCCAAAGGCAGACGCTTAACGACTGAGCCACCCAGGCGCCCCTCCACCACCCCCCTCTTGAGCACTCTCTCTAACACACACACACACTGAACTTTTTTTTTTTTTTTCACACACACTGAACTTAGGCTTCTTCCCCAAACCTGCTCCTCTCATGATCTTTCCCATCTTGTTGCTAGCCACTCCATCCTACCCAGGAAAAGCCCTTGGAGTCAGCCTTGACCTCTCTCTCTTTCTCCAGCATTCAATCCATCAGGAAATCCTGTTGCCTCTACCTACCTCTGAAACGTATTCAGAATCTGACCACTTCTCACCACCTTCCTGCCCCCAAACCTTGGTCCAAGTCATCTCCATCTCCCCCCAGATTATAACAGGTGCTTCTGGATGGCCTCTCTGCCTTCAAACACAGCAGAGGCCTTCTTTAAAAGTTCAGTCATGTCATGTCTCTCCTCTGCTCAGAACCCTCCATGGCTCCCATTTCACTCAGTAAAAGCGAAGTCTTCACCTTGGCCCACAGGCCCCACAAGGACCTCACCTCCCACCATTCTCCCTCTCTCTCCCTATTCTCTTTGCCATCCTTTGGACAAAGCAAGTGCCTCAGGGCAAAGGACTCTTGCCTCAGGACCTTTGCACTTGCTCTTCCCTCTGCTTGGGACACTCTTTACCAGATCCCGTGTGGAGAAAAAGGGCAATGTGTGAATGAACCTGTCAGGCCTGCTGTATCTAACTGAGGGGACACTCACGTGTTGAGTCCAGCCACCATGTCCAGGGGGATCTTGACCGCCAGCCCCTGGCCTTCATCTGAGGGATCCACCTGCAGCTGCAGGATGTTGGCTGAGGTGACTTTCAGCCTGGATGGGACACAGGAGAGAGGAGATTCATGCCTCATGCTCAACTGAATATCATCCCCGAACTGGCCCCCTGACTATTTCCTGTCTCCCCTGGTGCCCAGCCAGGGGTGTCCAGCGAGCAGCTGGACCTGAGCCCTGTCCACTGACTCCTCCCCAGCATGGTCTGGCCCCCAACCCTCCCTCCACCACTGCTAAAAAGGCTTCCATGGCTCCCTGCCTCTTAAGAGATGAATCCCAGATCCTTGGGCTGACGTGGAAGACCCTCTGTACTGGCCCCACTGACCTCTCAGTTCCATACCTTGGGGTCTGAGTGACTCTCACCACCCTGTGCCTTGCTCAGGCTGTTCCCAATCCCTGGAATGCCATTTTCTTCTTGTCTCCTGCTGAGCATGGAGTCACTGGCTCACCTGCTGCCTCCACTGAGAAGTGTCACTTTTCCCCTTCACTGTCCTTCCCCAGGCAACCTTCCTCTGGGGTCACCCCGTTAGGGTTCCTGTGTCGCTCTCTTATGGTTATTGTTAACTCCTCTGGGAGCTCCTGAGGGAGGGACTTTGACCCGTTTTTCTTGGTCACGCAGAGTTGACACCAACTGTTGCTTGTTGACTGGTCGATTGAATATGCCAAGTGTGTCCTGGGCAGAGGGGTGGGGAAGGAGCTAGCGCCCAGCTTGGTCCTGCTCCACTTACCAGATGATATGGTTGAGGATGGAGTTGACCACACTGCCTAGTATGGGGATGCCCCTGGCTGGCTTCTCCCGTATGGTGCTGAGCAGTGACAGCTGCTGGAGGATGCTGATGGCATCGTGGTCGTTCAGCTCCTGTGTCAGCCCTGGAGGCAGATCCCAGAGATTAGGGGCCAGCAGGAGGGGCGAGATGAATGGCTTGGCAGTGGCTTCAGGCCTGGAGGTGGCATCACCCAGGGCTGCCTGGACCCGGACATGAGGCCAGGGGATGGATGGCTCCATCCTGACCATCTACTGTGGAGATGTGGCTTTGAGGATATTGGTCCAGATAGGTCATTTGCACATAAGGACTAAGGTGGGGGCATAGGTGGGACCATTCACCCCTCTGAGCATTGCCAGCCTCTGTGGGAGCATTGGCCGGAATGTGGGCATATGGGCCTGCATCCCTCCCACCAGCCAGCAGCAAACCCTCTGGAGCCAAGAGGCAGGGGAGCCACAAGGCTTTGTTGGGGGCTGTTTTGCTGCCAAAACATACTTGCTAACAACTCTCTGACACCCACATCATATGGACCTGTTGTCCAGAGAGCCTCGGGTGCTGAGCTGAGATAGGAGAAGCCAGGAGTCCTGGGTTCTGGTCCCTGCTGGACTTTTCCCCTGGCAACCAGAGCCCATTTGGCTTGTGTGAAGAGCAGGTCAGAAGTGCTGGGTGCTCCAGAAGCAGCTCTGGAAGCAGCCTGCAGCCCATGACTGAGGAGAATTGGTGTATAAATACCCCAGCTCCCTCAGCCCTCTGGCAGGATGACCCGGGTATGTGTCCCCCACCGTGTCCCAGAGTCCCCGTGTGTTGCTCCTTTGCTCCGTGATAATGGAGGTGGGACTTGTAAATATTCCTCCTTTGCCAGCTGGCAAATGTTAAGACTTGTCAGTGGAGGCTCTGGAGGGACATAAAGAAGGATGGGGCCCAGTGGAATCATGGAATTGAAGGGAGGATCTTAGAATCACGGAGTCTTGAGATCATAGGCACTCCCAGCCTTTACAACTCATCCACTTGAGTCTCACCCTAGAGCTGGGATTCCAGCTATGCCTTGCACACTTCCAGTGATGGGGAACTCCCTCCCTCCTTTGGAGGGCTGTTCCACCTGCCCTCTTGCCTTATGGTGGTGAGGCCTGGGTGACCGAGATTTGCTTTTTTTTAGGGGGGTAGAGGGAGAGGGAGGCCCCCCAAGACTTACTTTCTTTGATGATTTCTCGGCCGAGGCTAAGAACTGCAGGGGGATTGAGGGTGGCTCCAGCCAAAGTAGCTGCCAGCAAACCACAGAGGAGGGTGAAGGTGAATGGGCCAGCCATCTTTTTGGGGATCGGTGAGCAGCAGGTGGCAGGGGAAGGAACCTGGGGTGAGCACAGGTGAAGGAACCTGTTAGCTGGGCAGAGAGGTCAAGGGCAGGCCCGCCATGCCTGGTGACTAGGGGCACAAAGTCCAGAAGAGGCTGTTTAGTGAAGTGGTTAAGAGTGTGGGCGGTGAGGGGCGCCTGGGTGGCTCAGTCATTAGGCCTCTGCCTTCAGCTCAGGTCACGATCCCAGGGTCCTGGGATCGAGCCCCGCATCGGGCTCCCTGCTCGGCGGGAAGCCTGCTTCTCCTTCTCCCTCTCCCCCTGCTTGCATTCCCTCTCTCGCTGTCTCTCTCTGTCAAATAAATAAATAAAATCTTAAAAAAAGAAAAAGAGTGTGGGCTGTGGAGCCTGACCATTTGGGTCTGTGTCCTGCCTCTGCCGCTAGGTCTAGTTGTATGGCCTTGGACCAGCAGCTTAGCCTCGCTAGGCCTCAGTTTTCTCATCTGGCAAATGGGCATAATGAAGCAGTGCCCTACTTCATAGAGCCTGGCACTTAAAACCCTCCATAGTCCAACCTCAGCCAACTTCACCTCCTGCTTATTTCCCTCTTGCTCTACAAGGTTCCGATCATTCCAAACTGCTTGAAGTTCCCAGAACATACCCCGTTCTGTCCTGTTGTCTGTGCCTTTGTCCTAACTCTTCCTGCTTCCTGTGGTGCTTTCCCCCTTCCTTATCTGCCTGCTGGACTCTTATTCATCCTTTAGAACCCTGCCCACACTTTCCTTTCTCTGTCAAGGTTTCCCTCTCCTGCAGCCAGAGACCCTGGACCAAACTTGGAGAAGTGTTGCCTTAGGGGCTGCTGTCTGCCCAGGACAGGACGTTTGGATGCAGGAGGGAAATGCGTTTTCAGGTAGGACACCAAGTGGCAGGAAAGCTGTTTGCCTGATACTAAGAGGCTTGAGAAGGAAAAAGGTGGTTTCTTGGAGCCGAGGAGAGAAAGGCAGAGAGAGGAAGAGGCCTGTGGGTGCCTCCTGGCAGAGGACCTTGGGGGATACTTGTTCCTTGGCTGTTCTGTCCCTGCCATGGAGCAGAGCATCAGCCCCTGTAAGCTGGTCCCGAGGTCTCCAGCTTATAAACCCTGGCTCAGCCTCCAAACTCCAGAGAAGCTTCTGCCTCCTGTGGACTGTCCTGCTTGGAGGGAGGGAAGATGCTGAGCTGGAGCTCTGAGCCCTTGCTTGGCTCAGCATGTGGGTTTCTTGTTGCCAAAGGCAAACATGGCATCTGGATGCCATGTGTCTCTCAGCAGGAGCATCATGAGCTCTCCGAGACACTTGCTATCGTGATTCAACATCTGTCTACCTGACTGGGCTGTGAGCTCCAGGTGGGGCGTGTTGGGTCTAGCTGTTCCCCATTGTGTCCCAAGCACCTGCCATAGTGCATGGCACACAATGTGTGTTTAATAAATACATGGCTGCTGGATGAATGAATGAATGAATGAATGGCCTCTGGGAGCCCTGGAAGAATGGGAAATCTAAGCCTGCTACACTGAGCACGTCTGGGCCATGGGGACTGAGAGTGGAGGAGAAATATCATGGGCCTCAGGGTCAGATAGACCCGAGCTGGAGGCCTGCCTCTACCACTTGCTGTGTGATCTGGGGCAAATGACTTACGCTCTCTGAGCCTCAGTTTTCCCATCTGTAAAATAAGGGATAATTATAGTACTTATATCACAGGGTTCTGGGGAGGATTAAATGAGCCACAGGAGCTCAATGAGTGTTAGCTATTATTATGATCACGACAGTTGGTATCACTAATACTGGGGTCAGAAGGAACCACCTTGCAGTCAAAGCCAGAAGACAGAGGTAGTGCCCTGCGCCCTGCTCTTCTGCCCAGGAAGCCCCTCACCTCCACTCCATAGTCTTTTTCTTTCAAGCACCTTGACCCTATTTGCCCTTCGTTATCTTTGCACACCACTCTGTCCTCTGATCAGAGCTGCTCAGGGAGCCAACGGTATGGTAGCATCCCCTCCTGGGGAGAAGTGTCTCCTCCTCAAATCCAAGCACCATATACACATTCACCACATCATATCCCACCTCCTGGCCTTTGCTTATGCTGTCCCCTTTCCAATGGGATGCCTTTCTCTCTTCCTTTGTCCAGCCAACTTCTGCTTGGCTTCTCAACTGGCATGCCACCTCTTCCAGGAAGCTTTCCCTGACTGCCCTTTACCACAGTGTCCCTGGTCTTTCCTTGAGCACAGCATGTACCACACTGGCCCATACTGGGAATAACCTGAGGGCCAGGTTAGTCTGATACTCTTCCTTGTCCCCAGAATCACCCCAGCATGGGCTGGGCCCAGAGCAATTGGTGTGTGCAGGGTGGGTTTATGTCACTGGGATCAGGTCAGGGAAAGACTCAGCCAGTCCAATTCCTTCATCACTGTTCTTTGGTCTTCTGGGCGAAGGGGGCTGAGTGCCTCTCTACCCCTGGTCCTGACCTCAGAGAGTCCTAGTGGACTAAGGGGGCTTACCTCAGGCCCAAGCCTCTGTCTTGCTCTTGACCTGACTGCAACAAGTGTCTCCAGCTTAGAACCTTCCTGGAGCCCTAGGCTTTCAGCCCCTTTCTTACACTTTTACCTGGACACGCCGGAGTCCTCAGTCTGCTCCTCTCCTCATCTGGACAGTGGGTCTGGAAGTCTAGCCTTATATCCTGCACACCCCAGTCTGGGAAGTCACCCTTTGCATTTGGGGAGGACTTGGCTGGGCTGAGGTCTCCAAGGTAAATATTTGTTGCTTCTGCTGAACCACATCCCTGCCTGGAGGCAGCTTCCTGGGGTTTGGAGAAAGGAGGGTCTGGGCCGGCAGGAGGGGTGGGCGGGGCATGGGGGCAAGTGGCAGAGGAGCCTGACCGGGCACAGTGTGGCCTGTGGAAGGGGCTCCCTGCCTTCAGGACAGAGTCATTCCCAGGGGGACGCTGATGGGGACGGTAGCAGTGACGATGTATTAAGCACCTACAACATGGCATGTGACGCCCCGGGCCTTATGTTGGTCATGTCAGTGGAGGCTCATCCCCACCAGAATCAGGATCATTATCCCAACGTGACCATGGAGGAACCCGCCTCGCATGGTCAGCAAATGGCGGAACCAGGATTCAAACCAGAACTTGGACTTCAAAACCTATCTGGGGATGTCTCTACAGCTTGGCAGATGCACAAGGTCCTGGCGACAGTCTGGGTCCAAGCCCTAGCTCTACCATTTGCATGCTGTGTGACTTGGGGCACATTCCCTGGCAATGCATTCCCTAACCTTTCCAAGTCTCAGTTTTTCATCTGTGAAATGGGAATAGTGGTAGCACCTACCTGCCAGTGGGCTAAGAGGAACACGGTGGACGTGCTTAGAGCACAGGTCCCAGCACAGGGTATGTGCTCAATAAATGTGAGTGGTTGTTGCTGTTGTTATTACTGCTTGTAATAGTGTGGGCCTTTGCAGAGAGGTAATGATGATAGTTAGGTCCAGATAATTGACCCGGGGGAAGGAAGTGATAGCCTTGCGCATCGCTTATTCCTAAATGTATCCAAGGATACACATCTCCATTAATTAATTCCCTCCAGAGAATAGGTTTGAATCCCATTTGGGTCGCTTTGCTGTGTGATCCTGGGCAAAGTACTTCACCTCTCTGGGTCTCAACGTCCTCATCTGTAAAATGGGGATAATCATAGCTGCTCTCTCAGAGGCTGCTGAGAGCATGAACTGAGGTGTGTGCTCACATAGCACTTAGCAAGTGCTTTTAGTCATTCGTTCTGCAATAATTAGTACCCACTTGGCCTTGCCTCTGCCTTCTGGAATCTCAGTGAATAGTCGTGGAACGAATGAGTAATGAGGCATGACTGTGAACCAAGGGAACAAATGAGCGGTCCCCCAGGACCCCCATCACCCCCCCCGCCTGGGTGCAAGCCTTGCCTCTTTTAACCTGCACAAGTCACTCAGAGGTGGTGTCAGCAGGCCTGGGTTCCCAAGGGCATCTGAGGCTCAGAGAGGTGACCGACTTGCTCCAGCTCCCGCAGCCAGGGCTGCCAGAGCTGGGACTTGGGTCCAATCTGTCTAGTCCCAACCATAAGCTCTTTACCACCCACTGTCCTTTCCCCCCGTGACTCCAGGTCAGTGTCCAGGGGGGCGGGGGAGGCAAACATGGCCTCTGGATATGATCTGGGGAGTCATTCTTGCTGCTCTGCTCCAGTCTAGAAGCTGGGCTTGTGGTTCAGAGCTGAGCGGTCCATTGCTGAATCCTGTCTCCACATGCAGTGGGACAGAAGAGGGACACTGAGTGCCCTGAGGCCCCTCAGTGTGTGGCCTGGCCCTGGTCAGTCTCCCCTTCCTGGAGTTGTCAAAAGGAAAAAGGTGAGAGCATTTGCCATCCTGCCATGTGTACAAAATGTACCAAACACCTGAAGATGAGATGCTCGGCAGGGGGCGGGGAGGCCTCCTGGTAGGGAACTGCCGGTCCCTTGGGCGTGTCTCCAGAGAGGCGAATGCCTCCTCCTGAGCTCCCCAGCTGATTAGTTCTGCTGCCCGGGGACAATGCCCCTCTGTGGGAGATCTGAGCCCGGTGCCAGGGCCTGGGCCTGCATCAACTCCTGCTTCCTGCCGCTTGGCCCTGACTTGCTGGGCTCAACACGCACAATTGCTCTCTGTTGGCCTGGCACACCCTGGAACCCAGAGCCAGCGGAGCCCTGTCCTCGGTGTCCCTCAGTTGTCCCCATCAGGCTGCTGAGGGACTTTTTGTCCCACCCTTACGTCTTTCCAGCACCCAGGGCCTTGCTTGTGCTGTGTCCTATTTCTGGAATGCCTGGATCACTCTCCCGAAACATCCATCTTGCCCTGTCTGGGCGGTAGGTCAGGGGGTAGCCTCTGGAGTCTGACAGATGTGGTTCAATCCTTGTTCTTGGGTTCATCAACTGTGAGGTGGTGGGAAAATCGCTTTCTCTCTGTGAGCCTCTGTTTCCTCAGGTATAAAACAGGACTGTTTTGAGGGTCACATAAGATAATGTGAAATACTTGGGACGTCAGAGAACTCAGTAAATGGTAAATGCTACCATTATTACTGGAATATTAACATCACTGATCTTTAAGGCTTAATTCAGAAGGTAGGGTCTGCATAAAGCTGCCTGACTCTGTCCTGATGTCTTTGTGCCCTCCTGGGGGCCCCCAAAGCACCAACTATTTACTCTCTTAGGGGTTTGGATCCTCTTCTGCCTTGAGAGATGTCCAGTCTATCCATCCATCCATCCATGCATTCCGTCAATCCATCCATGTATTCATTCATTCATTCTAGTCTCCTCTCTGGTCTCCCTCTTTCCACCCTGAGTCCCGCCTACCAAAATCCACTTTCCACGCAACAGCCCAAGTTAACTTTAGAAAAATGACTCAGACTTTGTCACAGCTCTGCTTGTTAAAACCCTCCAAGGGCCCCTGTGGCTCTTGCATGAAAAGGCAAGCTTTACAAGGTCCTGCATGGTTGGCTGCTGCCCCCCTTTCAGCCCTCATCTCTCATCACTTTGCTCCTTTCTCCTCTCACTCCTACTCAGGGCCTTTGCACTTTCTGAGCCTTCTCCCAAGAGAGTGGGGTCTTCTCCCAGCTTGGCTCCTTCTCATTCACCAAGTCTCAGCTTCAGTATCCCTTCTTTGGAAAGGTCTTTCCTGGCCACCCTTGCTAAAAAAGGGCTCTTCTTGTTCTTCTCTCTCACAGCCACAGATGGGGGTCCTCCCTAGCACTCCAATCTGAAAACTCAAGTGTTGTCTGAGGCACCACGGTTCCACAGATCATGCCAAGAAGAGGGGCCAGACCACAGTGCAAGCAGATAGCCAAGAACCAGTGGTACCACCCTCGGGACTGCTATGTGGAGGTTTCTGACCCAGATCGAGGTGATAAAGGATCATGGGCAAAGAAGGAAGGTCTGTGAAGATTTTTTTTTTTTTTAAGTAGGCTCCACACCCAGCGCAGAGCCCAATGTGGGGCTTGAACTCATGACCCTGAGGTCAAAACCTGAGCTGAGATCAAGAGTGAGGTCAGACACCCAACTGACTGAGCCACTCAGGTCCCCTGTGAAGATATTTCTGACAAGACGGCTACAGCTGTGGTCCCTCCTCCCACTCTCCCAGTGATGAGAGCGGGGGTGTCTGCCCCTACGGCGGGCCTAGCGGGAGGGGGCTTTCCAGGGACCATTTAGGGGCTTGAGGGGTATGTCCTCTGGAGTTGGGGCATACAATGGACTGGATTCTATCTTTTGCCTGAGAGAAAGAGGCTGATGAGCTGAAGTCATAATGGGCAGAGTTGCTTCTGAGGAAAATTATGGCTCTGAACAGGGTCAAAGCTTGTGTGTATGTTTTTCCAAAGACCCTGCAGGACAGCGATCTGGTCTGGCACTGGTTTAAGTCCTTTGCAACACCCTCTCCTGGGCAGGTGAGGAAAAGTTTCCAGAGAGCCAGAGGCTGGGGGTGGCACGCAGGGTGGTCAGCCATTGGAAGAGCTCTGCCCTCGTTTGGGGTTGCAGCTTGAGAGGCCTGGCAGGAAGGTTTGAAAATCCCCAGGAGGGTGCCCAAGAGAGCTCTAAACATTATTTGGCTTCCCAGAGACTAGAGAGCCATCTTGCAATATTATCAGCCAAGGGAAATCTGCCCCCTTTTCGTCTCCTTTCTGCCTGTGCTCCATCCCTGGATGCAGCCAAAGAGAGAGGGAAAAGGTATGTGTGTGTGTGTGAGAGAGAGAGAGAGAGGGAGAGAGGGAGAGAGAGAGAATATGAGCACGAGCCTCTCCTCCCCTAAGCCAGTCCATAGAAGCCTTGGTTAGGGGTGGGGAGAAAGTGTGAAATCAGAGAGTTAAATCAAACCAGACACACAGACATGGCAAAGTATCAAAGTAGAAAAGATCACTCCCATTTTCCAGATGCATGGTTTTTTTTTTTTTTTTTTTTTAAGATTTTATTTATTTATTTGACAGAGAGAGAGACAGCAAGAGAGGGAACACAAGCAGGGGGAGGGGGAGTGGGAGAGGGAGAAGCAGGCCTCCTGCCAAGCAGGGAGCGCAATGCAGGGCTCAATCCCAGGACCCTGGGATCATGACCTGAGCCAAAGGTAGGAGCTTAACGACTGAGCCACCCAGGCGCCCCAAGATGCATGGGGTTCTTGAAGAAGGGAAGTAATGTGTCCAAGGTCCCACAGCCATGAAAGGTGGAGTCAGGATTTGAACTCCGTTCTGATTGTGGAGTCTATGACCTGCTCCTTTGTCCCAGCCCACCCCATCACCTGCAGCTGGGACAGCGGCATCCTTTTCTGAGAAGTCCATGGTCCTGTGGGTCTCTGAGGACATGCTGGACAGGTGAAAATCCAGAGGACTTTTACTCTCTCAGAAGACAAGAAGGAAGCCTCCTTGAAGAATTCACTTAGGTGGGCTCAGGCCCTCGATTTAAAAAGGCTTTTGTTGGCACCAAAGATGCCACCAGAATGGCAGAAAGATTTCACCTCTGGTGCCAATTCTGTTGCTTAGAAATGGCCATTGGAGTCCTCAAGGACAGCATTCTGTATAACAGCCCTAAGGTGGGACCAAGCTTAAATGTCCAGCAACAGGGGACTCATCAAATAAATTGTGGGCCACCAGGCAGCTGTCACAAAATAATGTAGAGAAACTGAAGGCTCTTAGCAAGTGAAAAAAGGAAAGTTTCTTCTATTTTTAAGAAAAAAAAAAAATTTTTTTTTTCGTCTAGAAAAAATACTGGAAGGAAACTCACCAAAAGGGGAACAATGCTTAGTTCTTGGAAGTGTCATCATAGGTGACTTGTACCATTTTCTTTGTGTTTGCAGAATTTAAAAATTTTTACACTGAATGCATTTTTTGATCAGCAAACAGCCCCATGAAATGGCTTGAAAATGAGTAAATAAAGGTTGGGCAGAGAACAAGGTTATGGAGAGTGCTGGACTCCTTTCCCAGGGCCACCCACAGGCCCCGCTGCACAGGGTTCCAGGGAAGCAGGGTGCAGGCTGGCCGGCAAATGGGCAGAGAGGGCACTTCTGCAACAAAAGCCCAGTCATGCTGGTCCCGGAACTGCCACCGCAGCCTCCTGAGCATAATCCCTCTTTTGTGGGACAGGAATAGGTTAGATTCAGTGCAAACATGCACTGGCTAGGCCAGACATCTAGCTCTTTGCGGGAGACAAAGAGCAGATATGCCCTGCCCTTGTAGGGCTCACAGTCAAGGTGGGGGTTGTGTGTGTGTCCTAGAGGGACAGAGAGGTCAGGCTTTGGGTCATGATCAGGGTCAACGCAGGCAGAGGGCCAAGCACAATGATTCACCCTCCACCCCACCCTCCACCCCGCCCCCCCCACTGACTCTGGCAGCAGGGGATAGGGTGGAGGTCAGCTAGATGTTGGTCAGTGCTCTAAGAAGGGGCAGCCCATGATGATAGTGCCGTAAGTGAGGTGAACCCAGGCCCGCTGGGGCAAGTGTTGTGATGGAGGTCAGCCCAGAGCTTGTCATCAGGGCCGAGAGTGGGACACAGGCAAAGGGCGTCAAATGGTAGAGCAGGTAGGTGATTGGCGCTGCAATGGGGGTCCACACCCACCTAGTGTGGGACAGTTGCCAACAGCCCAGAGGGCATGTGCTATTTAACTGGGAAGGAGGGTAGATCAGAGAAGCTTTCATGGAAAGAGTGACATTTGATCTGGGCTCCAGGGAGAAGAGTAAGAGGCTAAGAATGAGGACTAGGAGAGGAAAGCTTTCTGGGAGGAGAGGAAAAGAAAGAGGTGGGTTTTGGAGGGTGAGTTTGGGGGCTCATCTAAGCGATGGAACAGAGAGTAGGTGGCAGGGAAGTGGGCTGGGGCCATTTGCACCAGAAACCTGACCATCGGTTGGAGGTGAAGTGGTGCTGGGGTCCTGGTAGCCCCTTGGCACGCCCCAGCATGCTGCAGGCTGCAGTGGAGCCAACCTCAGGCAGGGGTCCAGTCTGGTCTGCGCTCCGAAATCAGGCCTCCGGGACCCTGCTTGTCTGAACGCCCTGGCCCCAGCTGTCCTGGGGCTTCCCTCTCTCTCACACACACACCCAAGTTGGTTTCTGTATGTCTTTGTCTCTTTTTTTCTGTCCTCTTCCCTCTGTCTTTGTCCGTCTCTTGTGTGCCACCTCAGGGGCCCAGGGGGGCGCTGGGGGAGCCCTGTGGAGAGCGCAGGTGTTGGCGCTTTGAGAGGTGATACCCCGCTACGCACGTGTGGCCTCGGCCCAATGTGCGTGTGGCCAGAGGGGCCCTGCCCTCGGCACCGAGCTTGGCCAGCTGTGGACGTTGAAAGGCACCCTCCCTGCCGACCATATCAGCGCTCCCTCCCTTTCCAGGCCCTGCTCTAGCCCCGTTAATTCCCCCCGCCCCGCCCGCCCCGTCGCAGTGCCGCTGGGAAGCTGAGCTGAGACAGCTTGACGAGCGCTTACTTCAAGCAGAGCCAGGGCCGCCTGAGGGCGCTCTTAACACGAAGCTTTCTATTAGGATTATTGTAGTCGTTATTATGGACGCTGTGTAGCTATACCTGGATAAAGGAAAAACCGAGTGGTTTTACAAGCTGGGGAATGTTATGAGAACTGTCCTTTGGAATTTCCATCTGTCCTTAGCAACAGGGTCTGGCTGTGTGTGTGTGTGGGGGGGGAGGCTGGAAAATGAGGGTTCGCCTGGGAGATGGGGGCCCTGAATCAGACCTCCGGGAGCAGCTGAGTATGCAAAAGGGGAGCCTCACTTTGGGGGGCTCAGAGGTTCAGCCTTTCTTTCCCCAAATGGTCATCGTCGGAGACAGAGTCTCAGGGGTGGCCCGGTCAGGAGGGTGGGGCAGACCCCGGGAGGCGCCTACACCTGCAGCTGAAGACTTGCTGGGGGGGAAGGGGGCTGTGCAGTTTAGGGGTCTGTCCTCAATATTTCTTCCTGACTCCCTCTCTTTACTGGCGCAGGACTGGCGGGACAGACAGACGCAGTCAGCCAGCAGGTCAGTTGGCCGGCAGCTAACTGTATTACACATCTTCTGTGTGTGGACACAATTCTGGGTGCTTTGGGCATAGCAGGGAGCAAACAGAGTGCCCCCCTGCCTTCCCGGGGCTCACATTCTCCTGGGGAGAAAGAGCGTGAGCCAGAAACGGACAAGGAAATGTAAAAAACACAGCGCTCACTTGTCCCAGCCGCGAGGACAGAGAATAAAAAATAAATGCTGGGGGCGCCTGGGTGGCTCAGTCATTAAGCGTCTGCCTTCGGCTCAGGTCGTGATCCCAGGGTCCTGGGATCGAGCCCCGCGTCGGGCTCCCTGCTCAGCGGGAAAGCCTGCTTCTCCCTCTCCCTCTCCCCCTGCTTGTGTTCCCTCTCTCGCTGTGTCTCTCTCTGTCAAATAAATAAATAAAATCTTTAAAAAAATAAATAAATAAATGCTGGAACTCTACCACAGAGCATCGTGAGGGTTTGAGCGGCTTTAGTGTCCTGGGAACTCGAGGCCCTCTCTCAGCACCGCGCGCATGAACGCGCGCACGCACGCGCGCACGCGCACGCACACACGTACACGCAGGCGCACATGCGCCCCAGGCAACTCTCCCCTTGTTCAGCTTCCACATTTCACGTGTTTGACCTTGGACACAACTTGGGGGCCTAATTATATATGGAAGGAGGGGCTGCCTGAGGTATGGAATAGGCATGGCCCTCCCATTTCTGAGTGCTCACGCCCTTCCAGACTGCGCCTCCAGCCAGCCCGATCACTCCTACTGCCCTCATTGGACAGATAAGGAAATGGCGGTGCAGGAAGGCGGGGTGACTTGCTCAAGGTCACACAGCTAGCAGGACAAGAGGCCCGGATCTGATCTCTGGTCCATCTGACAACGAACTTGTGCTCCATCTTTCCGCCACCATCTCCCACACGCCTGTTGTCCGTGTCCTGTCCTCACCTGCCTGCCGCATCTGCCTTCACATGGTGCGGTATCTGCCAAGGCCTACGATTCCTGTCTACTCAACATGCATTTTGGTAAGTGGAATCACGTTTGATTTTCTATTTCTGACATGAAATTGTATAACAGTACCCAAAGTGCAAAAGCAACACTGCTTCCCATAAATCGGAGGTGACAGCACGACGATAGGGCTACAGAGGATATTAATGGCTATAGTTAAGCTTATTGAGCACTCATGCACTCTTTGCTTGCATTATTAACCAGTTTAATAATTTAACCCCACACCGATGCCCGCAGGTGGGCACTGTTTTATCCTCATTTTTCGGATAAGGTTTGGATGAGTCCCCTTCAGAGAGGCGACATATTTTTTTCTAAAGTCACAGTGAAAACAAACAAACACGTTGAACTCTGGCTCGCCATGCTGCCTGCTCAGCACCTGGAGAGAGTGCTCAATGCAACTGGAGAGAGTGCCCAGTGGAGAGGTGTTGAAGGCATTCTAGCATTCTGCTGAGCCCTTCGTATTGGAAGGATTGAGAAAGAGTAGGAAGGTGAATGACTTTCTCATTCCTTTTGATGGTGTGGGAGGCAGCCCAGCTTCTGGAAGACCCGCACCAAGCTATCGATCACATATCAAGAAGTGCTTTGGAGGGCTTTCTGAGTGTGGGCAAGCCAGATTACAAATGTCTTACCATGTGGCAGTTATATCCACTGGTACCAGGAGAGGCTCTAGAAGCCAAACGACGTGAATTCTTGAACATCTTTGCACCTTTTCTGGACTCACAATCTCTCTGAACTGACAGTGTCTTGCTTTTTGCTTATCTCTACTTCCTGGGGCCTGGGAGGAGAGCAGGGGGACCCATCGGGTACCTCGGTCGAAGTCACCCACATGGATTAGGTTCCTGTGCTAACATTTACTCACTTAGTCACCCAGTCTCCAGGAGAGGGGAAAGGTGAACCAGCAGACCTGCCTGAAGGTGGGGGTATTACTGAATGGGAAAGGGATATT